AGCGAACCCGGAACTTGGATTTATTTTGCGGTTTTACAAAAGGTAGGCACAACAAAAATTTTCACAAAAAAATCAGAAAACTATTGGAAAATAATGTCTTTCAATCAGGATATGGAGGATTGCGATCGTCGAGGCGTCAGTGTTACGTTAGTTTATCGCGCTGCGGTCCTGAAATGGACTTTCCTGACAGCATTTAACTTCTAATTACCAGCAACTGTACATATAAATCTGCTCTTGTTGAAACAAGACATAAAAAGAAAATAATTCTTGAAAATTCTATTAGAAAATAATGTCTTTCAATCAGGATATGGAGGATTGCGATCGTCGAGGCATCAAGTGTCACGTTATGTCTATCGCGATGCGGTCCTGAAATGGACTTTCCTGACAGCTGTAACTTCTAATTACCAGCAACTGTACATAGAATTCTGTTGTTGTTGAAATAAAAATTTTCTTTTCACTTTCAGAAAATAGCAGAAAATTGTACTGTTAAAATTGCATAGATAGAATTGGTGCCTCCAGTCAATATAAAAGGTTAAGTAAAAACAGACTCAGTTAAAGGTCAATTTAAAAATAAAAAAGGTGTGTAATTTAAGCACGATGTAAATCGTTTTTAAATTGAAATCTGTAAATGCTGACGCCCACCATAGTTTGGTACGACGCAGCTGAATGAGTTCGAAGGACGAATAGGCGGTTTTTACAAATGATAGTTTAAAACAGGGGCACTGGGTCGAAAGATGACCACTAATAGGGAAGCGATCCTCGACTCCTCGTTATCCAATTTAGCCATATGAGCCGAGCGTCCACCTGCTATCGCCCACATCCTCGGTCCTCTAGTTCGAATTTCAACAGTCGACGTTTGCAATTCAAGGAGACGTGCGTGAAACCGTCGGATAAGAAAGTAAAAGTACGACATGCAATTTGTTTGGCAGATATTAAGGACTCGTAGAGACGGTTTTTTTTCTCTGTTTTAAAGACTCACGAACATCACGTTTCTCTCCTACACTGTTAAACTGCCTTCTTGGCATTTTGTTTGGACAAGTGAAAACGGCTCTGGCTTATTGTAGTAAAACGTGCAAGTTGCGATTTTTTTTCGAAATCCCACTTAGCGCTAAGGTGAAACCCTTGTTACAATTTTGTTTTCAACATGGGAGCTTAATCGATGCGAGAAATGTTACAAGAAGTACGTTTACCATTTTAATTGTGTCTCAACCATACAGATTATGTCTGTGAATACGGTTTATCTTGTTTTGATCCCTTTGTACCAAAATACTCAAACCAGCTATTACGTATCGTGGACAAGAGGATATACCGCTTTAAATACCTATTTAAAATGTGTACTCAATCAGATTATTATAAAGAATGTAAAGTTTGAGGAAGTGAGCATTTATCTAATGTACGCTTTTCTCGGGTTGTCCGGAAAATAATGCAGGATTTTAAGTTTTCATTAAAAAAAATCTATATAAAATATTCTGTTTACGTTTACAGGATTACTCATTTGTATGAATGTCAACACTTATTAATCCTCTTCCAAATGATATTGTTTGTTTACCTCTGTAGCATTCCGCTACTTGGAAATAATTCAGTCATCCTTATAATGTCAAAGCGAGAATTTCGTACGATTTTCTTTTACGAGTTTAAACTCGGCCGAAGCGGAGCCCAAACGGCTAGAAACATTAACCAAGTCTGGGGCGAGGGTTGTGTTAATGAGTGCACTGTGCAAAGGTGGTTTAAAAAATTTCGGGAGGGAGATTTCAGCCTTGAAGATGAAGAAGGTCGTGGAAGGCCTTCCTCTCTTAATGATGATGTTCTGCGATCAGTGGTGGAAGAAAACCCCAAAACAACTGTTCGAGAACTTGCAGAGCAACTCAAAGTCAGTAAAACGACCGTCGCTGACCACCTCAAGGCGATTGGAAAAGTGAAAAAACTCGAAAATTGGGTTCCACACTCATTAAACGATCGCCAAAAAAATCAGCGCTTTGATGTTTGTGCATCACTTCTTTGTCGAAACAAAAATGACCCATTTCTGGCCAGAATTGTTACATGTGACGAAAAGTGGATTCTCTACGATAACACTAGACGTTCTGGACAGTGGCTCGACAAAGGAGAAGCTCCAATACATTTTCCAAAGCCCCCAACTCATCAAAAAAAGGTAATGGTTACGGTATGGTGGGCTTCATTTGGTTTAATACACTACAGCTTCTTAAATCCTGGCGAAACCATCAATGCTGAATCATACTGTAACCAAATTAATACCATGCATCAGAAATTGGCAGTAATGAAGCCCTCTTTGGTCAATCGGAAAGGGCCCATTTTGTTGCATGACAACGCTCGACCACATGTGTCACGTGTAACGTCACAAAAATTATTGGAGCTTGGCTATGAAACTTTGCCTCACCCACCCTACTCTCCGGACCTCTCGCCTACTGACTACCATTTTTTTAGACACCTGGACCACTACTTACAACACATAATATTCAAAAATCAAACGGAACTGGAAAATGCATTTATTGACTTTATCAATTCTAAAAATTCTGAATTCTACTCAGACGGAATTAATAAGTTACCAACACGTTGGGAAATTATTTTGATTAAAGAACATTGCTTTAAAGTAACTAGTTTCTTTTTTTTTGTTTAATACCAAAATCCTGCATTATTTTCCGGACAACCCAATATATGGAGGTCATTTTGTACAAATATTAACATTCGTAATAATCACAAACGGTTTATTATTTCACTAAATCCAAACATAACATTGTTTTTACAATGCTTTTCATTTTCTCCTAGCAAGGGTTCGAAGTTCAGGGTATTCATTTCTTTTTAAACTATTTGTATATTGGTGTTGTTTCTATAATGCTTATTGCAAAATATTCCCTGCCTAATTAGAAAAATGTATTCTGTACTTTTAGAACTACATTTTTACATTTGTCGCCTGTCAATGGTTTACGACGTAATCCGGTGGATCTCTTTTGAATTGTCTGTATATTGTTATACAAACTTTTTTGTTGAAGCAAAATCCTACCTGTTTCCGCTTAGCGTAGATATGGTTTTAGGTATACAATTTTCCCACCGCTCGATAATTTACGTCTTATTCCTGTTGATTTCCTTTAAAATAATATGAATATATGTATAGTAATTGTTATTTTTGTCGTTATAATAAAAGCCTTCCTGTTTTATTATGGGAGTGTATTTCACGTTTTGGGTGGTATTCATATTTACTCTAGAGTGAGTTCACCCTGTTTTATATGTACATTTTTATTGGGGTGTTTAAAACAAACTTTTTCTTTGTCTTGTTTCTCTTGAGCCAAAATATTTCGATCTAACTCTCTGGGGGGATAGGAATAGAGGCTAACTATTTCACAGTGCAACCGAAATTTGCACCTGGCCGAATAGCCCTTGAATGAACTACATCCAGAGCATCCTGATCGACGCTTTTATGGAAATTATTGGAAAGTTTTTCTTTCGGTACCATGAGCATTAATTTACTATCAACTAAAATTATAAATAAATAAATTGGTTCTTGGTAGAAGAACGAAAAAACAATGTTCGGAAATAGTTTTTCTTTCCTTCTAATAACTTCGCTATAGTTGCTCAAATTAAAAAAAAGCTCAAAAGCAAAAAGTCAAAATTTTTCCAAAAATGTACATTGATGCGTGCTTGCCAAATGAAATAGTTAAGCCCCTATTCGAAACCGTCCATTCTGACGAGTAAATCAAATTGGCTCATGAGAAACTAAACCATAAAAGAACGTGTCTCGGGAAATTCCAAAAACACTCCAATCAAAAATATAGGGGGAACAGAAGTTAAACACCTATATGTATATTGTTCTACAAATTGTTTCAGCACTGATCATTACAATACACAATCTTTCCACTTCCTCATATCAGTATATTTTATGTGTTTTTTTACGAATAAAGATCAATATTTTTCACCTCGACGATTCAAGAACTAGTTGATCTTTTTAAGCAAGATCGTTACACAATTATTTTTCCTTCTCAGAGCAGAGTATTTTACTCAATACAAATTGACAACCATCGATACATTTAATCTCACCGGTTTCCTACATCGTTACTTTCCTTGTCGCTAAGTTGCCACCAGGAGTCAAGGTTGAACAATTCTCACAGGGGCGGAAACCAGGAGGGCAAGAAGATTACAATCTAAACCACCCTGGACCAAGGGGGGTGAAAACAAAAGTGAAATGCACCTGGTCAATTTAGTCGTGTCCCGTCCAATCGGAAAGGAGGATGCAGATCATGAGACATGGTAAACTCGGACAATTGATTAATAGGAGAGTGTAGCGATCAGTTTCACAATTGGTTACCAACAACTGTCGTATCAAGAGAGAGGAATTGGGTCTAACGCGCCGGGGTAATTTTATCGTTCAACTCATCTTCGCCAATCATATGCCTAAGAAGAGGAAGAAGAAACTGTAGAAAATTGGTCCTTCCTATTATAAAATCCTATCGTATTCATCGTACCACTTTCTCTCAGGATTGCGCGAGCTATAAATATACTTTTTCAGGCCTAGATCACTTCAACATTAACAACACTCGCTCCTTCGACAATTAAGAACAATTGTTGATTAAGGAAAAGTGGGGAGAAAATCATAAAAGAGGGGTTCTTCCAAGTGCAATTATAAGCAATTCCTCGCAATTTAGTGCATTTGTACGGTACACTAACTGTAACGACATGTCCTCGAATTTTATGAGTTTTATATTAAAATCCTCTTTAAACTTTTTTTCCATATTCGTTAGTAAGATATACTAAAAGGGGAAAAAGTGGATTTTTAAAAAGCTATTATCTCCTCTTCTTGACACTCTTGTCAGTCATTACAGTCATAATTGAAGGTTTGATTCTCAAAACCTACAAATTACACCTGTATCACACTTAGAAACATCTCATTATAAGTTTGAACGTAATAATGATTTAACCGTGTGTCCGATTCGACACGACTTATCGTAGCCATAGACCTATTTGCATAAATTAATTTCATTAACGCTTACCGCTGAACACTCGTATGGCCACCGTCATTCTTGCTACTTTTATCGCGTCGAGAGAATGTTTCGTCTTTACTTTCGGATTTCCTAGAAACACGTTTATATTTAATGTCAACACATCATAACGTCGCCGGATTTAGTTTATAGTTATGATTTACTATTTAACAATTAAAAATAAATAAATAATTAACTATTAGGATTAATGATACCCTTAAGTTAGTTTTCTGGGTTAAAAACCAAAAATTATAAAAATAATTAAATACTATTATATCATCCGCCCACATTTATACTGTATCATAACAAAAACTTAAGAGAAATATAGCCTTTTACGACTTCTACTTAATCATTAATAAATTGGCTAAACTTTTCGACATTGTGAGGTAATTCTCTAAAAAGAATGCTTATCAAAACGTATTTAAAACATTTAAAATTAAATATAAAGTTTAACTTTTAAATAATATAGTAAAAAAGAAAATAACTACGTTTGCCTTTTCTCCTTGCTCGACGGTGGCCCCTGGATACCTGGCTGGTGCCTCTTCTGTGTCTATTTCCAGGGCTAATGTGGAAACACGAGGTAAAAAAAGCGTAATTCGTACATTAACCGTAAATTGCATTTAAAGGTCAAATCTGTAATTTTTATACATAATTTAAGAACTGTCACCAGCCTTATATGATTATGAGGATACCCACCGCCGGAAAAATGTAAGCAAGACCCGATATAAGAGTATGTTATTAAAAAGACTTACGGTACCCTTGTGAAAACTCGATTAAAAATAAACAATAATGAAGAGAACTGACAGAAATAAAACAAAAATTAAGTTAGTAAGAGGTCGAGGACGGTGTACGTTGGTAAAATTTAATTTAAATAAAGAGTTAAAAAATAAACTACGAATGGTCAGGGCGTCCCACTCATCTTTGCCACGCTAGCAGTCCTGGGTTCGTATCCTGCCAATCCATAGCTTTTCATCAGAATATAGTTTAAAAGAAGTATTGTAAAGTGGCTTGACCCCTCGTCCGCGACACCGAACGGTTATAGTTGGACATTAAGCCCTCCTTACCTTACTTTGTACTTTTAGATAGCCAATAAGTAATATCAGTGCTCTGAACTGCAGCAGTGCAAGGAATCTGAATGCAAATTATTTGTTCCATGGAATGAATAAGCTTGGGAGATGCTACATTGCTCACAGGAACCTTTCTATGGGATAGGGACGAAGAGGAAGTCTCTCGCTGGACGATGGCAATCCAAGAAATAGAAGAAAAAAAGAAATAGAAAGCAGGAAGATCTTAGACCTTTGAAAGTTTTCGTAAAGGGCTTCTGAATACTCAAAGGGAATCTGTAAAAGATTGGCGTTAAGAAAAACTGAATTATAAGGAAAATTGTACGAAGATGTGTTTACTTAACAGATAAACTACATTCTGGAGTTCCTAATAACTTTGGGAAGTTGCAAATTTCATAAATTAATTAGGACTATCCGCTCTTTAGTGTAGAACATAGAGTATAATAGAGTAACTAACAGCTCTCCGAGGCCACTTCATATGTCGCCGAGAATCGAATCCTGATTACACGGCATTTGAAAAATGGCAAAAAGTAGGGAAAATTCGAAAGGAAAGGTGAGATGGGGAGTTTGTGTCCGAGTGGATCGAAGTCTGGATAGCTCAAGTGGTTAGAGCAGCGGCGTATTGAGCCGAAGGTCGTGGGTTCGAATCCCGCTCGGACGCTGACTTTTTCATTTCAACCAATACCTTACATAAAAACATAAATCAATTTAAAGAAGTTATTTGGTCAATCGGACCACGAAATTAATGGATAGAGTATAATATTTCTTGGTTTTCGCAGCACAGAAACCCCTAGAATTAGAATTTCTACATTCTAGTAGGAGATGACAGTTGTGTTAAGTCAGTTGGCCTGCAGAGAAGAAAATGTAATATTTTATTAAGTTTTACAAAATCAGGAAAAGTAGGCTCACGTACAAATCTTAGTTGTTTTGTCCGATGGAAGAGGAAACCCCCAACTCAGACACCCTTTATTGCCCGTGAAATTTATTGAGTCGAATCCCTCCCTAACGATGCCTTGGCGTGCACGAAAATCAAACTGTGTGACCGCTCCGGTAAAAGTTATGCTGAATAACATTATAACGTTGAAAACACAATTAATAACAAACGTGCCCATTCATTTAAAACTCATGCAAAACGAATTCCTCCATCGTCCTTCCTCAGTTTCACTTTCGATAGGATTTTTTTTTCCAGACATTCCGGTTAAACAACTCACTCGATCTCGGAAACCTGGCACACTGGAAAATTTTCATAGGTTGAGGTGTTAGTGGGGCAGAAAACACGGCAAAGGTACCCACGTGGCGTAGTCATGACAACTCTCCCCTATTTTATATATACTGTTTTCCCACCCCTCCTGGTCGCCTTGATGCCTCAAATAAGCCCCCGATTTTTTTTTCCGCCGAATGAATGAAATAAATTTCGAGGGCGTGCTTAAAACGATTCGAAGGCAGAAGATACCATTTCGATCAGAGAGGGGTACAAAACAAATTTAATGGAACTGTACAGCTTGACAACGAGAAGTGATCGATACCACGGACATAATTCTAAACACTCTCAATCATATGCATATTCCAGATTTCAAAACCTGCTTTTATCTATCAAGAATAACTAATTTTTAGAAAAAGATAGTTCAAAATTTTAGGAAAAGTAAAACAGTTACTCTGACATCAGCTGTTTGTCGAAGGTTCACAAAAAATTTTAACAGTTCCGTTCAAATTGGCTTGTAAACATCTATTAGCAAGTAAATATAAAAATTAATTTTTCAAATTTGTACTACTGTCCAAGAGAAAAATTCAAACGGCGTGCAATTCATATTACTTAGTTGGTGATCCAAATAGTCAGGAATATTTGAAAAGAGTTGCCTATTAATTAAAAAAATAATAATAATAATAATTTTCTCCTCCTTCGGCAACATCGGTTCAAGAAATTTTATTTTTTACAATGATTAATTTTACAACGTTGTCGCACTAAGTTCATATAAAGTTTTTTTTATCTTACTAGATATATTCTGCAAGATAGCTTGTCGATAACACTATCGATCAGACCCAATTCATAAGAAAGCTAAATTTGACCAATATTTGTGGAGAAAATCGACTGTTGATCCAATGCAATGTGTTCATAACAACACAAACTGAACGAACAAATAAAATTTTTCCTATAGATTCTAGACATGTTTGATCCATATACCAAGTGAATTTAAGAAAATTTAAGAACAAAACGAACAAGGGTAAAAAAATCAATGGCGACAACGGAATACGTGCCAACTGGGTTGTTGCACCTATTTTCAAACATTACTCTTCCAAAAAAAAACAACCCAAACTGTTGGCAAGGTTTGCAAGGATAATGGAGAAACGAGGACGAGAATCTCTAGTATTGATTGTCACTACTAGCTCCGGCGTCTTCGTGTCTCCTCTCAGGCCGTAAACCTCTTTTTCTTTTTAATATTTTCTAAATGAGAAAATTCAACTAGGACGTCAAAGATGTCTTTCATTATGGTTACGTTTTGTCGATTTTATTACGTCCAACATGGTATGAGTTGATTGGTAAAAGCAGTCCTTTTATTACATTATTACAAGGTAGGGCATATGCTTTCATCATTATCCCTTTTGCAACGCGCACAAAGCAAACGCAAACATTATATTTCCCTTATACGCGCTAACAAACTTGTTGGCTTTAATGACTCGGAAAGCCGAGCCCTAAAGTGATGTAATGTTGAATATACGATTATACCTTTTAGCAATTAGCGAAATCTAAGTTATAATTTAGATTTAACTGGATATCCGTGTATTCAGAGTCCGATTGCAATTTACATTTTGATTACGCTTATGCAATTCCTATCGAGAAGAAAGGAAAGTGCAATAAAAAAAAATCGTGAAAAATTACGCACAGCAATAAATCGAGGCCGCTCCATTTACATATTTTACAATGCCTGAAGCTCGTTAATCAAAGCATAAACCCTGAGAATAACGCAAAGAGCCGCACTAATTATAAAATGTTTCTCATGGAAAACCTGCGTAAAGTGAACTGATTAAAATAAATCCTCAATTAAGCCAGCAAAGGAGGTAGAATAAAGGTGAAATACATAATTAAGGCGTTTTCATCTCCCCTTTTTCCAGTATCCCCCCTCTTTTTGTGTAACATAATCGGTTGGCTTTTAATCGGGGCAACCTGCGAAACCGTATTTCTTACCGAGGGATAAAGCGAGTCTTCTATTATGGAGCCGTAATAGAAAAAAAGGGGACAATTATGAGTGTAGCGAAGAATTTTACCTCCGGAGTGGCCCATATTTCGTCAGCTTTGCCTAGGCTGCTGGTCTATTTGGCAATAATGACTCAGTTCAAGAAAACTGGGTTCGATTTTAATATACATGTATTTTTTCAACAACCTATTGAGAAATTAGGCTAAAAGGCGATGTCAGAACTGATCTTATCGAGTGGGGCCCATTCTCACTGCTATTCTGAGTCAAACGTGTTTGGGGTCACTTAAACCCAGAAGATCAATACTGTCTTCTACATCGGTCTAATTTCAAAAGAAAAAACATCAAAATCAACCCAACATTGCAAAAAAAAAATAGGATAAGCAGTATGAAAAACTACTTTGTATTTAGTTTAATAATAATGTAAGCGGAGTTATAGCTCTGATGTTAAGTTTTTTAACTACTGAACCACCTTGAAGTCAATTTTTCTTTCTGAACCGAACTTTCGGTGTCACGTCGTGACGACTCTTGACCCGGGTGAAGACGATCAAAGGATCAAGGTAACGGGAAACGTTCAACCTGTACTATAATTTTCAATATAATTTCAAAAGCCATACAGACCCCAAGGAGAACTGGCGTCGGGTCGCGGTCTTGCTCTCTGAAGCTGATTCGATTGCAATAATGCCGGCCTTTTTATTAAGTTTTAAGTATACATTGGTCAGAATACGGCCCATCTCGAAATTGTCGGTCCATCTGTTTTTAAGGGCGTTATGCAATAGAAATCGATAGGAAGGGAAGATATGAAAGGATTGGATGTGGGCGAGCCGCGAGGGATAGG